TGTGTGTGTGTGTGTGTGTGTGTGTATTGTAGCTGAGATCAGAATGAAGCTGATTTTTTAAAACAAAGCAGCCGCTAAACCTTTGAGTTGCCCTTTGTTTAACTTTGACGTAGTGAAGGGTGGAACTACTTGTAGTGTCACTGTTATATTTTGTGTGTGTGTGTGTGTGTGTGTAAATGAAGTTTAGTCTGTGTGTATGTGTGTGTGTGTGTGAGACAAAGTGATGGTTCCTTGCCCCTGCTGTTTACTCTAGAGGCCGACTTGGCGGCCATCAGCTCCAACGTCCATTAGCTTCTCGTTAGCGTAGCGAGGCGGCGTGACATCATCTCTTCATTAGCCGTTGAAGCTGTCAGTACGTCACCACTTGGCTCTCTGTGATCAGAGTCGCTCCCCCTGTCCGGCACGGCGCTCCAACCATACATTCATTTAATGCACATTAACTTTCAGAGTTCAGAGACGTGGCTGGAGCTTAATGAGAGAAAATTAATGAGCCTGTTGAAGTTCTTAATGCCGATCTAATCCAAATAAACAGTGTTCACCTCGGATTGCCTCGGTTCTTGCCAGGATAAGCTATCAGGGCAGCAGATCTAAACATGTCTGTTTTAAATGTTAATATGCTTGCTCTGTTTAATGTAAACTGCCTTAACAGCTTAATCAGCAACACTTACTGTGTCCATACTTCATCAGCTAACAACATAATCTGCAAAATTTGAGTTCATTGTAGTAAAACTTGTGTGGTCACAAGATGTATGGAGATCCTGTAGCGGCGTCGCTGTAGTGAAGGACTGAAAGAAACAATAAAAAAAACAGTAATTTACCTGGTCTTTGTGGGAATCGATCATAAAGTGAGGCCAGTTTTTTAACCACTGACCACCTGTCTCACCTGAGTCAGAGAGTCACAACGGTAAGTTTGGAAAATGACGACCTTCTGCTCAGATGTTTACATGCATGAAAACGCCACGTATCCCCGTGTGATGATCTCAGATCTCGGGAATAATCCTCCGACATAATAAGGAAGTGAAAATAAAAAACAACACAACAACAAAACTAAAACATAAACAAACCGGGAATTACCTGTCTTATAGAAAATGTGACTCTGCAGAACATAACATTAGTATTTTATAAGTAACATCGTGAGTTCAGGTCAGTTCCAACTGTAAACAAGTAAAACCACAGCAGCGGGTCCTTCTGTAGTTTCCTCCACCACAGCAGCTTTTTTAACTGTTGATATCTGTACACTGCGGTGAAGGACTTTGACTTCAATGAACTCTGGGTTTTGAACTTCTCCTGTTTATGCCAGTGCTCACTATAAACTGATCGTAACACCTGTATCCAAATGTTTTACTAGATCTCTTTGTATTATCGTATACTCGCTATAAAATTTTGTGTAACCTCAAACTGCCGTCGCTCTCACTCTTTCTCTCTGTCTGATATTTTGCTCTGATATCCCGACTCTGCCTCCTCATGCTAATGCTCTCTGCTGTCACTCCTGTCCATCACCTGCTCCCCCCCCCCCCCCCCCCCCCCCCCCCTCTCTCTCTCTCTCCGTCTTTCTCTCTTCCCGCCATCCAGCGGCTCGCATGCGGGAAGTTTCTGACACACTATACACTCTGTAATGTATACACACTCGCCATAATGGAGGCTATCGACGGCTGGTCGGAAGAGTGATGAATGCGTCAAATTAATAATTCATGTCAGTATTAGGAGTCGTGCCGCTGAGGCCGGGGGCCAGCTCAGCAGTTCGGCTTCTGTAATAGGACGGGTTTCGTGAGGATACATCGCGTCCTCATTTTAAATAAAATGTTGACGGGGGGGTGGAATAGGCCTAAAATTAAATATGCTTTTTTTTTTGTTTAATCTATCTGAGTGGATTTTATTAATTTCTATCACTGTTTTAAAGGTCCCATTTTTTTTTTACACTTTTCCAATCTTTTAATTGAAGTGTAAAGACTCAGAGAAACCAAATCCTGCAGGTTTGGATGGTGGGTCCAGGTGGGCGGGGCTTGGGGCGTGGCTGACAGCGGTGACTGCGTTGTTGTGACATCACAAAGTTCCATTCATTCATTTCCGTCTTTTACTATTTCTTCTTTTCCAACTTTTTTTTATTTTTATTTCTTATTTCTGTTTTTCCATTTAAAAATTTCTTTCACTTCACACCTTCTGTTCTTGTTTCTTCCTCTTGACAAGAAGCTCGTAAACAAACAGGTAAACTGTAGCTCAAACAAGTACATCTTTTAGTTCCCCATTTTCATCACGTAGGATGTTGTTCCTTCACATTTCCCATCATTATCTTTTTTCCAGTCAATACATCTGAATCAATGATGTCCTGGTCAAAAGCCCTCACCAGGTGAAATCTCAGGGGACTGTTTAGAAAGAGGAGATCTTGCAGATATTTACCTCATGAAGCCGTGGCCTCATGCCAGCAATCCCACTGCTGTTCGAATGGCGGAGGAATGTGTGGCCAATCAGGAATGTTGGTGAACCAGGCACCTTTCATTTCAGCCCGGAGGAATGTCTGCTGGGTAAATTTTCTGCATCAATCTTGGGTGATGGGAGGAGCGGGGGAGAGGAGGGGGATTTCCCCCTCGTTAGCGGTGTGCGTCTCCACATGCAGCGGCTGGCCATCGCCGACGAGCCGTCAGAGATAAGAGGAACGAGCTCCCAGTGAGAATACTCTGTGGTCGGCTGTGCATTTATGCAGCAGAGGATAATATTTCCATTGTTCATGCTGCCTTTATGGGCCTATATTTTATTCATGAATTCCTGAGAGCTAGTGAGCCACGTCTGATTTCATGTGTGTGTGTGTGTGTGTGAGTGTGTATACGTGTTAGCGCAGGAAACTTTTTCATCTGCCGACCACAGTGGCTGGATTCCAAAAAAACACCCGATGTTTGAACCGTTTGACCAGCAGGACGTGATTGATGAGTTCCAGAATAGAGTGAGACCCATGAATGATTGTTTGTTATGTGTCGAAGTGGCTTGTGGAAAAGACAAACCATCTATGGACAAAAGTCCCCAGGTTGTTGGGTCATTGGTGTTAATTCCCAGCTCTGTCCTCCGTCCTGATCTGAGGTGTTTCTCCTCCACCTCCCTCCCCCGTCACCCCTTAAAAAGCAATCAGTCATCACTGCCCCTGTGTTTTACACTCTCCCCTCTAACTGGTGTTTGATTAATCTGTGGCAGACAGAGGTTAGCCCGGCGCTAGTGCCTCTCAACTAACTGCCGCGCTAAGCCCACTGCAATTCGAGGGGAAACCCTGGACTGTCACTCAAAGACATAAAAACTAAAAGCTCTAGAAGGAGTTTGTGGAAATGGATGAAGAGAGGCCAAAGGGGGCAGAAAAAAAGGGAGGGAGGCTTTTCAGTTTCCATAAATATTTTCCCCGGCGCTGTTTCCTCTGGAGGTGAAACGTCCGTCGTTTGTTAGTATTAGCATTAGCGCTGGGCTAGCAAATGCTGCCGTCTGGGAGGTGGTGGTGGTGGTGGTGGTGGGGGGTGAGACTCGGGAGCCGAGCCGGGACCGAGCCAAGCTGAGTCTCCCTGTAATTATGAGTTCAAACGCTGGAAGAGGGCGGCTTGCTGACTGACGGGGTGACTGACAGGCTGTCCAGGGGCCGTGCAGGGCCCCTAATGGAGGCTTCTGGAAGACAGCAGCTTGATTTATCTGGCCCCAAATGGAGCTCTAAACATGGCTAAACACAGATCCCACTGTGGAGCGCAGGACCATCGCCATTAACAGCCGAGCCTCACTCACTCCCTGTGTCTCTGCGTATGTGTGTGTATCTAAGAGTGCATAAGGAAGTGTGCATTTAAACCTTGTGTGTGTGTGTGTATGTATGTTTCATTTGGTCATTTGTGAGTTATCATTCATGACTGCGTGTGTATTAATCTGTATATTCATATTTCAGTAGATCTTGAGTGCACATTTGCGATGGCATGTGTGTGAGTGTGTGTGTGCGTGCAGACGTCAGTGACTGCATTCATACACGTTTATGTGTGTATGTGTGTAAGTGCAAGCGTTTTCCCCTGTGTTTGCTTTTTTCTCCCAAAAAATTTGGACAAAATCCAAAACGGATGCATGGGAAACCTGCTCAAACCTGATGTGCAAAAATCAATTTTCAGCCAAAGAGATCTGATCCAAGGACAGTCTGAACAGACCCGAGGATAACTGGACCTGATCCAAAACGCAGTAAGCAAAGTGAAGAGACCCAAATAGAGAGAGAACAGCAGCTCTTGCAGCAGAAAACATCTTTGAGGAG